ACCTGGATAACGGAAATACAAGAAGATGAAGGAGCAGTCAGCAACAGTAATAACACAGCAACGCAGTGACAGAACAACCCAGTGGAAGATTAAAAAAAAGAAGAAGGAACCAGCAGAGTTCCAGCAACACCCAATGAAAACAGTAGCCAATAACCAATAGCAAACTCTGGAAGAACCAAGTGAAACCCCAGAAATACCAACCAGCAATACCAATGAAACAGCAACAGTACTAGTTCTGATATTCAGCAGTAAAAGAAAAGACTCACTTTTCAGTTTCTTAGCTCTCAAACACTGAACCTTTTAGGATTAAAAAAAAACCAGCCTGTTTTTTACTCTCAAATTACTGAACTTTTAAATGTTAAAAATCCAGCCTAGACTCTCTGAAAAAAAAGACTGAAAGAGAATTGATTTTTTCTCCTCCAAAAAACCAGCCCTTTTTTTGTCTTGAAATGACCCTATTTATAACCCAAAAACAGGTATCGACAACATCTTTTAATCAATCCTTTTTAAGCTTTTCATACCATTATGTTTTGTTCCCCACACTTGCATGCCTTGTTCCCCACTAGCAAATGTCTTGTTCCCCACTAGCAAATGTCTTGTCCCCCACTATGTATTAAACAATGCCTTATTTTAATATTATTAGTGCTTAGTGGACAGAGCACTCAAATTAATCATTTTTAAAACTTTAAATCCCAAAATGCCCCTGAAACTATTGAAATTACCATTTTACCCCATCAGCTATATCCAATCCTCCAAATCAATTAACCAAACTATAGCAGCTATAACCAATCTTAATTGAGAAATCCTAACAATTGACTAATTAAACACATGAAACTAACTCCCAATCAATGACATTAAGATTCATCAAACTCAAATCACAATTTAAGCTTGAAACTCAATTCAGACCAAATATCATCAAAATAAAGATTCAGTGATTAAACTAACACACTTCTAGATTAAACCTAAACAAGAACAAATGAACATTGTCAACATACTGAATGAAAACAAACTGATTTCATATGCAAGAAATGATGAACAACGACAAGAAAAGAAACAACATAACATAACTAAGAAAAGATAGAAACTAGAACGAGGCAAGATAATTAAAACAAGCAAGAAGAACGACAGATTCATGAACTTGTACTGCTGCTCACTACGTTCAATCATGGAAACACGCAGCTCATTGATATCAGTTTAACCAAAAGACAAGATGAAAAGAAAAAAGGAAATGGACCTTCATTGTTGCCAAAAATGGATTTCCCAAGTGATTGAATACAGAAAACTCCTTGAGCAGAGCTGTACAGCAAAGGCAAACAAGGAACAAAAGCTTCAAGCTAATGTTCCAAGAAACTCGAGCAAATCGGGAACCAAGACCCCGCCGGAAACTCGAACTCGCAGACTGAAAATGAGTCATTTTTAAGGGAGGGTTTTGAAGGTTTTGAGCCCGAGTTTCATGGTTGCTCGAGCATGACGACTGACGGAGTGTTTGGTCGTTTCTGTGAAGGCTGCTGGTCGACGACTGTGGAGCTGGAGTTCGCGACTGGAGGGTGGCTATGGAGAAGGTGAGGCGGGCTGTTTCAGGTGGCGTTGGACATCGATGGAGAAGGCTGGAGCTCGCGACTGGAGGGTCGTTGGGCTGTGGGTTATTGACGGGAGGTGGCGTGTGGCAGTGGGCGTTGGTAGTAAAGCTGGCGTGAAACTGGTTATTCTTCGTTGGTTTTTGGAAGGGCCAAAGGTGGAAAGTTGTTGGTTAGTCGCCAGACTTGCTGCTGCGCGGGAGGCTGGTTGACGGAGAGATGGCGATAGGTGGTCGTTTGCTTGATGAGAGGAGGAGGGCAGCCATGGACGTGAGAGCTGGAGGGGTCATTTGGAGAAGGAGAAGAAGAGGGGGCGGGTGGTTTAGGTTTTTTTGTTAGGGGTTTGGAAATGAAATAAAGAAAGGGGGGGTGGTTGTTTGGGCTATGGGGCAGACCGGGTCGGGAATGGGGTATGAGCTGGGTATCCGGGTTTCAATTTCAAAGGGGAAGAAAAATTATTTGGACTTTAAATTGATTTGGCCCAAATATGACTTAACACTCTTTTATTTTGCCTTTCTTTTCTTAAACTAAAAATTCCAAAAATCCTAAATTAACTTATAGGACTAGATCAATTTACAAAAGTACTACTAACTTTTAATAACAATTAACATACACAATCAAATAAAATCACATAACTTGGACATGAAATGTTAAAAATGCAAAAAATACATTATTTTGTGATTTTCTTTCTCTTAAAAGCAAAACATGGTTCAATTAATTCTTAATTGCACAATTAAATCTTAAATGTGTATGCAACATATATTTTTATATTTTTAATTAATTAAAACAAACTAAACATTTACAGACAAAAATAATTATTCAAAATGTCACGCAAAGTTCTCACAATTGTACCCAAAGACAATTTGTTTTATTTTTCGATTTCTTTGGGAGTAGTTTTCGTGAAGCAAAAATCACGTGCTCACAACCATTATTTGTGATTGCACGTGGTTGATGCTCCAACTGGAGAATGTAATAGTCAGGTATAATTTCAGGGAAGCAAACCAAGTATCACACCTTTTAGCAAAGGAACTTCCAATCAGTCCAATCTAAACCAAGTCAAGAATTTTGCTCTTTCTCCTCCCTTTGTTGAAACTCAGTTTTTGGTGGCAAATAGAGGTGGAACTTCCTTTGTCAGACTACTTTGGGATAACATATATACTAAGTTGGCTGAACTTGACAATCATAATGTTGTAAGTGACATCTCTATGGCATGTAATGTGACTAGTTCGTAGTATTCATAATAAGTATTTCAATTTTTCAAAAAACAAAAAGTTTATTGTAGTAGTAATTATCTTACATATGCAGGTTTACAAATTAAAAAGCTCCAAAATCAGTTGAAGTTTTAATCTAAAATTGTAATCTTTAGAATTTAAGTTATGTATACTGAAAGTGAATTGTAACAAATTACTAAATTTATTGTTATTTTGATTAGATTACCAAGGGAGTAATAGTTATCGAGATATTTATCTATAACCTTTTAACATTGTGAGTATATAAAGTTGGAAGTCTATCTTCTTTTTAATCTCCCCCTTATAAGACTTCGGGCTATTTTCTTTCCAACATAATAAGGGTTTATTTTTTTTTCTTGGGGTTAAATTAAAAAAACAAAAAAGAACACATCTTTTGAAATAACAATTTCAAAAGGAACAAATTGAAACACTACAAAAACTACAAGGACCAACTTGACATTAACTCTATAAAACTTCACACCAGTCTCGCCGCCGGTGATTTCAATTCGCCGGAACCACCGCCACCTTCGCCATTAACATGGCTTACTCAGTCTTCATCTCAATCAAAAAGACCAAAGTGCCCTTTTCACTAACCTTATTCTCCATTGCTAAAAAATCTTCCCTTTTCTCCACACTATGCAACAAAAACCATCACCAAACTAGTACTTCTACTACTCCACCAGTGGCAAAGAAAGTGCCTTTTACAGTTTCTGCACATGGGGTTACGTGGAATGATCCCTACCGTTGGATGAACAAAACAAACGACCCTGATTTTATCAACTACCTTCAGCAAGAAAATTCATATGCTGAGAATTTCATGAAGGATACTGAGGAAATGCAAAAGGTTTTGTTTCCTGAGATGATTAGTAGAATGCCTTCCAAGATTTCTACCCCACCTGAATTATGGGGTCCTTGGTTTGTCTATAAAAACTTAGCTTTTCACTTTGTTCATATGCATGATTTGATAAAATAATGTGGAAAAAAATGTTGGAACTGATTTTTGTTTTAAATTGTTGGAACAAGTTTAAATAATAGTTTGGAATGTTATAGAAAAAAAGCAGATAATTTGTGTGAAAATAAAGCAAATTAGAGTTAGATATTAATAAAATTTGAGAGGAAAAGTTTGAACATTTCATTTTCACTTCTATCAGAAAATGTTTCCACTTTTGGTTACTTCGAAAACTTGGCCTTTCTGAGCCTGCTCACATTTCCTGTTTCACGCTTGGATAAAATGAGGAGGGTTCAGGTGGGTTGACGTCCAACGTTAAACTTGTCATTTCACAATGAATCCTCATAATACAGAAATCTGTATTGGTGATACTAACTAGAAGACTAGTGCTTATTGGAAGACTGTTAGCATGTTACAGATATAATCACTTGAGTATATTAGAGAACTCCTAGTGGTAGACGATCCTCAAGTGTGGAGTACTGAAATATCATGGACCCAAATAGTGCATTTATGATATTGAGGATTTACACAGCCGACCACAACTAGCTTGGGTTGAGGCATCGTAATAGTAGTAGTTCTTGTTGTTATGTTTGCTTTAAAATATAATATCCTTCATTTGCTCCTTCAATAAGTACGAAGGAATTCAAAATGTCAACTTTTTCACAAGGGTCAAATTAAGACAATAAATGGAAGAAATGAGTCATCATTTTGGTAGAAACTAGAAAATAAACCAAGTTGACCAAAACGAGATGAAGTGAGTATTATTTTTCTATGTGAATCTGCAAAAGAATTGCACATCTACATTTAGGTCCATGTAACGTCAATTCCACAATATACAGTCTATTAGGTCTGTGATTGCTTGATTGCTGGGTTATGTAGTAGAAAGAGCCTAATATGATAAAGAGTTCATGTACCTGTTCAAGCCTAATCTCTGTCTATGTGACCTATGGGTCACGGATTCGAGTTGAATCAGCCATTGATACTTGCATCAAGGTAGGCTGCTTACATTACACTTTTTGGGGTGCCGCCGCCTTTCTGTGGACCCTCCTTGAATGCACGATGCTTTATGCACCAGGCTGCCCTTTATTTTGTGCAACTGTTGTGTATACTAAGGGGTTGTTAAAAAATGTCTTTGTACTACTGTACTGAATATTCTGAAGAATTCATAAGGTTTTTTTGTCGTATGATCTCAACGCTACAGGCTACATTTGGTTTAGCATATGCTTTGGTATGTCAACTGGTTCTAATTCTGTTTTGAAAATCTACTTGCTACAAAATGTCTTTCTTTGTTGGTTGATTATTGGTATGTTTTGAGTTGTTAACAGGTTATACTACCAGTACATTCCAGAAGGGAAGGAATTTCCCGTATTATGTAGGAAATTGGCTGCTGAGAGCAAAGGTTGGATGAAGAGCGTATCCAATTATGTGATTGGAGTTTCTAAGAAGGAACAAGTACTGCTAGACTGGAATGAAATTGCGGAAAGATATGGTATATGATTCTCGTATTATTCCTTTAACAAGCCTTTTTTGCTCTTCTTTTTCTTTTTCAAGCACTTGTTATAATCGATTTCCCCTCCTAATGTGTTTTAGTGCATTCATGTCATTTTCTTCCCATCGGGCATTTTTTCGTTTTTTTCTTTTGTGAAATTGGAAGATATTTTATGATTCCAAGGTGTTAAAGCTCCTAATCAAACAATTTAGGTAAAAGAAAAAACTTTTCTTCGAGGATTGTATGAGATGGCTCTAAATCTTCATTTCCTATCGCTTTTGGTATGTCATTAAAGCAGGCTCAGAGTTGTTTCCCGTTTCTTGAGCATGATTGAAGGTCAATATAAATTATTGACGGGCATGCATGTGTTAGTTTGAGGAATGAATCCACTCTAATAGTATATCCATATCATCATGTTGAGGTTTACAGGATAATAAAGGGTTAAAATACCAACAGAAATGAAGGAGAATATTCTTATAGGTTTCACGATATGCGTTCAGGTCATAGGTCATTGTTTTAGGTTTTGTAAGATTTAATGAAAGTGTTTCCGTTATGTTTTGATTTGTTCTTGTTTTCATAGGATATGTTCATGTGGGTACATGTCGAGTGTCTCCAGACCACAATTATCTTGCTTACACAGTTGATGTTACTGGTAGTGAGCAGTTTGTGCTTCAGATTAAAGAACTTCGGAATGACCGTGTTCTGCCAACCCTAGAAGTTGAAGGGGTTGTTAGCCTGGAATGGGCTCAAGATTCTTGTACTTTCTTCTATACATTATCCGACCAGAACCAACGTCCTTACAGGCAATTCTCTATACTAGTTTGATTACTATTTAAATTGGATATCCGAATGCGTTATTAGTCTAACATTATGTGTCTAGGGTACATTGCGTAAAACTGGGATCAGATTCTGTGCATGATGTCCCATTGTTTGTAGAAAATGATTCCAGTTTCTGTGTGGACATAGCAAGTACAAAGGATGGAAAGTTTATTACTGTGAATTCTAATTCAAGAACTTCATCTGAGGCAAGAATTATACCTCTATCTCAGCATAGATACTTCTTTTTATTGGTGAAGAATTATTTTTTGATTCTCTTCATTGTCTTATTGCAGGTTTATGTCATCAATGCAGCCAATCTGCAGACTGGAATTCAAAGATTTTGTAAGCGTGTGTCTGGTGTACAATATTTTCTTGAACATCATCATGGATTTTTCTATGTTCTCACAAATTCTCATAATGTTGGTGAGGAATCACCTTCTAGTGGAGAGTATTATTTGGCTAGATGCCCTGTTGAGAACTTGCAGTCAACATGTTTGCAGGTATATTGTCTTCCTTCAAATATTGATTCCTTAAGGGGTTGCTGCTGATGATAAAACATTTATACACACATGAATATAAAGCTCTCAAATTGTTCTCCAAAAGCATTCTATTTATTGAATATTTCTTTTTGACTTTTCTTTCATATGGCTTTTAAGCTAATTAAGGATTTGTACATTTGCTTTGTACCTCACTCTAGCTAGTCGTTTTGGTTTTGATATGAGGTTACATGCTCGTTATCTCATATCTGCCAGCATAATTATGATATGTTGGTTATTTTGCTGCCTAATAAATATTTCACATAGTATTTGCTGTCAGCTTGATCACCTAACTCCTCTACCTGGGCAAGTGCAAAATTGGAATTGCATAAACACATACTTGTGATTCAAAAACATTTATTTTCAGTTTTTGGTTTTTTTATCATCTGCAAGCTTTGTCTGCAGAATATTATAGTACCCAGTGGAGACATTTTCATCCAAGATATGGACATGTTTAATGAACATTTGGTGCTTTTTCTCAACAAAGAGGGTTCCTCATCGATATGTTCTGTTGATATGCGAACGATCATCAATTGTGAGGTATAATCTTAAAACTTAAAATAGTCGTGATTGTTGAGTGTGGAAGGCTAAATTAGTAAATCAGTTTCTGATTTTGTATTAAACTTATCTCCTATTCCTTAGTTTCTTTTCCTTGCTATGTCGCAGGAGGAAGCATAATCATCTCTCAATTATCATTATCTGTGTAAAGTTGACCAATACCAATGTTTCTTACTATCTTCCTGTTGCGCAGGAACAAATGAAGATTGATGAACTTAACCCATGGTTCTTTCCTCTTCCCTCTGATATGTGTGCAATAACTCCAGGATCAAATCATGATTTCACACGATCTGTATATCGCGCTGTTGTTTCTTCCCCAGTGGTAATGCCTGACAACCTTTTTTCCCCCTTTCCCAGTGGTAATACTGTCAATTCTTCAAATGATCTGCATCCTTTTGGTTGTCTTATTGTTGCTTTACAATTTTAGCTTAGATCTCTGCATAGTATGAAAATTCAGCCTGTTTCCCTATACTGAAATTATTCTTATACTAATTTGTTGTTTTTCTTTGAGAAAAAAAAACACTTAAGCCTCAATCCCGAACTAGTCAGATTAAAGGAGTCAGTAAGCATCATGAAAATTATGAAATTTCCATTAGAAATAAACAGATTTGGGTTCTAACCGAGTACAAAGTTCCTAGAATCCCAGTTTTTATGGTCCTGTTCTCATTATTAAAACTCTCTCAGTTGAAGTCTATAACAACGATTTGCTTCTTATATGCTTCATAGAGATAATTGGATTTGACTTCTATTTCTACTGTAACATGTGTCTACCTGTAGGCCAAGGACCAATATAATATGCTTCTTATGTTTCTCTTTTGGAATACAGATGCCTGATGTTATTGTTGACTATGATATGTCAAGAAGAATGTTCTCTGTCATTCATCAAGAAGAAGTAATTGATGTCTCCCACGATACTAAGTGCCACTCAAACAATGAAGAGAGAAGCAGAAATGAGCTTCTCGGCATCCCTTTAAAGAAGGAAAGATACATTCAGATTAATGAAGTACAGAGATGGAGTGACTTTGCTGAGATTTATTCCTGTGAAGAAAAGGAAGTGATATCGCATGATGGTGCAAGGATTCCTATAACTATTCTGTTCTCTCGTAAAGCACATAAGAAGGATCAGTCTCCTGGGATTCTACATGGATATGGAGCATATGGTGAAGTTTTAGACAAAAGCTGGTGTGGGGACCGCCTGAGCTTACTTGATCGTGGTTGGCTGATTGCATTTGCTGATGTAAGGTACAACTTTCTTTTATTATTAGTTGGATTTTGATAAATCTTTCCTCCAAGCTGCTAACCTGTCTCTCGGAACTCCTTACTGTCCGTCCTCCCAAAGCAAAGCAAAGCAAAGGAAAGAAGAAGAAAGAGGACAACAAGAAAAGAAAAGGAATCCAAAGGAAACTATCGATTTTGATGCATTTGTAGTGGTTGTGTTATTTTGGTAACTTATGCAGTGTCCAATAGCTTTTCACTGATTTGCTCAATGCAATAGAAGTGATAAAACTTTTGTGATTTTGTTTGCCTTGAACTGTTACTTATCCATCCACGAACTCTAGTGATGAGAAGAAAAAAACAGAAGTTCTTACACTCCAGCTTGGTCACTCTCTCGCTGAGTTCCATTAGTTGCTGTCAGTTTCTCTCTTTCCAAATGCATGTAATAGTGCATTAATATAAGTTACCAAATTACTGCGTAGACTCCTGAAAGCATTATTGTCGCTTGTGATTTCTTGTAACAGAATACTTAGGTGATACATTTTACTTTTGCAGGGGTGGTGGTGGTCCAGATCCTTCGTGGCACAAATCTGGGAGTGGAATGAGCAAGTTGAACTCTATAAATGATTTCATATCATGCGGAGAATACCTTGTCAGTGAGGGTTATGTCCACAAACATCAGCTGGGAGCTATTGGTGTAAGTGCTGGAAGTCTTCTTGTTGCGGCAGCAATTAACATGCACCCTGAACTCTTTCGAGCTGCAATTCTGAAGGTAAGCACCAATTTGGGAATCCTTTGGTTTCTTTCATATCTCTATAGATTTGGTGAATTGGATTCATAATGCATATTATGGTTTGATTTGGTCTCTGTATATATATCATCTTTAGCGGGAAAGGAAACAAGAGGTCTAATTACCATGGTTTGGAATCATATATGCTAGATGCAGGCTGCTTCTCTTTTAAGTTACTCTCGAGCTAAGAATGTTTAGTTCTTTAGAGAACTCTCTTTAAACCTGAAATGCTGCTGATTCTGAGGGTCAACAGTTACGTTAAAGAGACTTTGGTATTGACATGGCCAAATGAATGTAAATTGTGATACTTTTTTTCTACGATAACTATCCATGAGCAGGACAACGAATATGTACTGCTGTCAAATCCCCTTAGGATAAGGAACATGTATCGCTGTCAAATCCCCCTACGTTGATCATTCCCATCTGTCACGTCGCATTTCTCAACTTAGTTTACTTTCTCTTCACAAGAAAGTTACAATAATGAACTGTACCTATATGTTCTCAAATCTAATTTGGATGTTTTTGTGAGTCTGCAAATTGATATAATACCTCAGGGTTGCTTCTTGGAAACTCAACTATGATACAGTGGGATGGTAGGAAGTGTCTTATTTTTTGTTTGATGCTGATGTAATGTAGATGCTCATGTATGTAATGTTTGTTACAGGTTCCTTTTCTTGATGTGTGCAGTAGCTTGTTGGATCCCACCTTGCCTCTCACTGTTTTAGACTACGAAGAATTCGGCAATCCTCAACTACGGGCCCACTTTGACTATATTTTGAAGTATTCTCCTTATGACAATATTCCTGAAGGAGTTTGTTGTCCGCCAATGCTTGTGAAAGCTTCATTGAATGACTCCAGGTAATTTTGTTCTCATGTACGCCAATAAGGATAACTCTCTTATCCAAATTAGCATGTACATTATATGTACGTTTTACTTGCGTCTGTTAGATGGTGTGGCTGAAGTGCTAAAGCATTTTCAGCTAACCAAGACTCTGACTTTGGTCATATTATGTATTTATGCAGAGTTGGCGTTTGGGAAGCTGCAAAGTGGGTTGCCAAGATACGAGATAAAACATGCACTAGGTGTTCCTCTGCGGTCATACTTCAGACAAACATGAGTGGAGGACATTTTGGTGAAGGTGGTCGTTTTGGCCAATGCGAGGAAGCAGCTTATGAATACGCTTTTCTGATGAAAGTCCTTGGGAAATCTTGAACCAAAATGTGCAGCTTCTGGATTTTGATGATGGCGGGTTGGTCTAGTGCTGTTCTCCTAATGACAGAGGGGCTAGCTGGAAAATGTTGGCCAGCTGAAGCTCTAAATAAACCAAATGCACTCGGAAACTCCTGCTGGTATGAGCAAGAAATAAATATGAATTAAGCAAACTCCTTTTAGCCAAATCGATTAATGTGCCTTTCTTTATGCTAGTTGCAGAATGGCGTGACTCGGAGAAAAAGAGCTGGAGACGCCAGAGATTGACTGCTGCCATTGTCGAGTTTAAGAGGGATCTAGATTTGCTGTTCAAAGTCTTAACGCACACCGTGGTTACAAGTCAATGTTGAAATTGACTCTGAAGAAGTACCTTATGTTGCAAGTCATAAGTCATAACCATGCAAGTCTTTGGACCTGTAAGTTCAATAATACATCAGGGCAGGGGCAGATCTACCGTATAGGTATGAGTTCACATGAATCCAGTAGCTTTTGCCTAGACTCATAATATGTATTAAGAAATCCACTAATATCTACAAATATTCTGTGAACCCAATTATTGTTGTATATTAATTTGAGGTTATTGTAGAAACCCATAAATTTCAAATCCTGAATCACCCTTTTGTTATAAAACTGAAAGTGGACTGAATTTCTGTTGAATATTTAGGTTTCTACTATAAGACATGTTTTCACTTGACATATATAAATGCTATTTTCACTAACACAACACTTATTAGTCCAAACAGTAATCAAACTGCCATTTTGCCCTTTGAACACTTGTATTATGTGAAAATATGTTAGGGAGCATTGGAGCAACGGTAAAATTGTCTTCGTGTGGCCTAGGTCATCGGTTCAAGCCGTGGAATCATTCACTAGGGTAGGTTGCCTACATCACACCCCTTTGGAGTGCGGACCTTTCCCGGACCCTGTATAAATACGGGATGCTTCGTGCACCGGGTTGTCCCCTTTTTATATATGCGAAAGTAGAAATTACATAACAAAAAATTGTGAGAATTAGTTCTTTTGGAATTAAAAAAAATTCCTCTTCTTTTCCCTAGTTTACATTGTCAAGTTCCTTTTTTATGCATTAAAAAAATGAATGAAAGTTAATATGACAAAAAGAAAAGAACAAATTGCAGAACCGAAGTAATAACAGATAATACATCTTTTAGTTGACTGAAAAAGCCAATGGCAGTATTTTATTTGGGTGAAAATCCTTTCTCTCCTCCACTATAGAATCATACTAATAATTTCTTTAAGAAAAAAATAGGAATCGAACTCAAATGTTGAAAATTTGCGGCTAAAAACCTAGTAAGAATCCAAAGTGAAACCTGGCTAAAATCCTATTAGCACTTATAATTTGTTTTCAATAAAGTTAACCAAATACTAGTAGAATTAGAAAAGGACCACCTAAACCAACCCAAATACCGGGGAAACAATGGTATATTACTCTTTATTTATTTTAGGCATAAACAACAAACAAAGGAATAATTGTACTAGGTTTATTTTGTTCTTGAGCTGAGGGTCTTTCGGAAACAGATTCTTCATAAGGTAGGGGAGTAGGGGAGAGTAAGGTCTGCGTAAATAGTAACCTCCCCAGACCCTACTGTTGTTGTTGTTTTTGTGTTCATTATTACTACCGAAAACCCCCCCATTCCAACGATGAGAAGCATGGGTTTGCACTTCAATTTGTAGATGACATAGTATTTGATATATTGTCATGGCTTCCTGCCAAGTCTCTAATGCGATTCAAGTGCGTTTCTAAAGCTTGGGAAACTTTGATACGACATCCCAACTTTGCCAAGTTGCATAATACTCGTTCTCAATCCCGTCCCTCAGCCACCCACCTGCTCTTTGATCTGAAAAGACGTACCTTCCAACTACAGTCACAACTAGAGGGAATTTCTTTACAACTCGCACCTCATCATTATTATTCTGACTCAAGATCTAAGATCACTACCTGCTCAAATCATTGCAATGGCCTTGTTTGTGTTTATAGCTATCAAACTACTCAAGTTTACTTATACAATGTAACCACAGGGGAGATAAAACAATTCTCTTTGAGTCAGGAAAGTCACATGCAATATCCCGGCATTCCTGTTTTGTTTCTGGGATTTGATCCGGTCACAGAAAATTACAAAGTACTTCATGTTATTTTTCCCTACGAAAAACGACAAACGATCAAGATTCTAACTCTAGGAACCAACAAATAATTCCTGAAAAGTCTTCTGACTCATATTTTTCTAAGGAATGTATTTTTCTCAATGGGTTTCTTTATTGGACTAATTTCTATCCTATCAACTACTTCAATTTCAGAGAGGAGAAGTTTGGAATTCTTTCACCCCCAAAAGAAAGGATTTATCATTTCAATGAGGTGAGTAAAATCCAAACTGCATTGTGTGGAAAGCTGGTTTTGTTTTGGAATAAAGGCTATTCGGTATACGATGAGGTAAATAAGGTTTCTATGGATTTTAACTTTAATCCCAAATTGGAGAAGGTTGCCTTGTTTGAAGCGGAAAGGATTGGCAACACAAGGTTTGTAGATGTTTTAGCAACAGGGAGCCTTAACTTTATTAATGCCCCAGTTTCCTTGGTGTTCCCCAATCATTTTAGGTTAAGTTATGTTAGCAGTTTTGTTGAGAACATTATTCCATTAACATTTATTGAGGTTTAGTTTGAATTTTCTAGTTTTGAACTAAACATTGCTAGGTAGGTTAGGAGGTAGTTGAATATTTTTCTACTTCGTTCCGGTGCACCGGGCCTTATTTACTGGTTATTATTATTGCATATCAAATATTTTCTGGTTCTTATAATGCTGTTATTATTTCTATAGTTTTGGTTGATTGTATTGATATATTATCTTTTTCGTCTTTTTCGTTTTCTTGAGCCGAGGGTCTATCGGAAACAGCCTCTCTATTCCATCGGAATAGGGGTAAGGTCTGGGTACACACTACCCTCCCCAGACCCTTTACCTATGGAATTTTACTGTGTTGTTGTTGTTGTCTACCAATTCACGGATTGTGCATTGTTATTAGATTTTACTTTCAACCAATTTTGATTTGATATTTATATACATTAGATTATATACCTAAAATTATTAGCTTAGCAAGCAAGATACATGGTCTAAAACAAGAAATTTATAGCAGAATGTTGCAACATGTGCTTCTCTATATATAAATTAAATTGTTAACCTCAGAGACTCGGAACATGTTGAATTAGTTTTTAACTAGAGACATAAGGAATGACACCAAAAGAAAGGTAAAAAGAAAGAGGAAAAGGAAAGGAAAAATATCAGAAGAAATCATTGCTAACATTAGGATGCGATAAAAACAGATGGGATGAACTCAACTGATTTTGGAGGCAGAAGTGACGCAAACTTGAGTTGATTTGACTTGGTATCGCACCATGCTATAGTTGTATTAATATCTTCAGCCTCTTTTGAGCTTGGTCCAACTCTTCATCGTTGTTTGTATTCCAAAATTGCTTATCCTGGATTGAAATGTCTATTGTGTTGGTGAACTAAATACTGTGAATTTCCAAATGTTAACCTGGGAATCTCATTATACTAAAGGAAAAAGGTTAGGTGCATGTTTTGAATATTCTTGTGGTTACTGACTATAATTGAGAAAAGCTTTTAAATTTTGACTTGTAACACATAGTATATGAACTTTTATAATTAACTTGTTTGATAACTTGGGTAAATGTCTAGGAGAAATATCAGTTTCCCGTGCCACAAGGCCAGAGTTTTGAGCAACTGTTTCTTCCTCTTCATCTCACTCTAAAGCGAAGAAAAGCTATTCTTGGTATGAGATAACTCAATATAGCTATATCACTCGAGTCACACCACCCTTAAATTGCAATTGATTTCTAACTACGATAGGAGAAAGAGTAGCACCCTGCAATATCAAATTATCAAGAAAATTCGGACTAACCTATGTAGTTGTATGAAATAGATGACATTTTGTAGAATGACACATAAAAAACTAGCATATTTAGTGACACTTATTTTATTTGATATAAGAAAAATACTACTATAAGATGACTTTGAAGAGGCTTCAAGAAAAGTACATATTTATTGACACAACAAAAGTCGCATGCCAGTGCTACTTACAACCAGAACTCCATGGCTTTACCTTACAGACATAACATAATTGAGGAAAGGCTTCAAACTTTCCATAGGAATATGATCTAGAAGAAGATTAACACGCTGCAACAGACAACCAAACTTTGAAGAACGAAAAAAACAAGCACAGTTGCAAATCTCGTTGCAAGCACAGGCATGTAAAGTAAAAGCATAAAGCACAGTAATGAATAAGTTGAAGAAACCATATATCCACATTTGTTTATATCCCCAACTGATGTTTAGACATCTCTCAATGTTATAGAATCAGGCAAAACACAACATTATACTAGTGCATCAACACTTGCTTCTGCCAATTCATATCAAATTCCAAAACATTTGTTCAATAGGGTAACAGTCTGACAAAAGACCTGTGAAGATCAGAAAGGACCGAGATTTGGACGCTTATCCAACTTATATACAACTTCTGCTTTAGGTGATGCCCGCTTAAGTTTTGTCAGCTCAGCAAGTATTTTGACTGTTGCAGATTCTTCAACGAGACATGGCTCGATTAGCATTCTCACAAGCCTGGGAGACTTGGCCAACAGAAGCTTCATAAGCTGCATTTCAGGGATTGTGCCGTTAGTTTGTATTAGCTTAACTTCCCTGAGGTGATTAAATGTCACATCTGAGAAGCTTTCCACATCAAGAGATTCCAGAGCCGGTATATCATTGTCATCACTAGCCTCCACCTAAGAAAGATGAACCAAAACTTAACTCTCTGAGCTTAATGATGATTTAAGGAGCATGAAAATAAGAAATCCACTACATAAAAAAGAGAGAAAAGAGAACCTTCATTTCCATATACTGTAAATATGGGAAGCTTCTTATCAAGCAAAGAGCACATGAAACCTCACCCAAGTCAGACAGATAAATACTAGATATACAAAGATGTTTGACACAATTAAGATTAAACGGAAGCCTTGTCGGTATTTCACCTGCTCCTGCAACAAAGGACTAGAAAGAGCCAAAAAATCAGAATGACTCGACGCCCAAAGGATGCTCCATGATTGAAAATGCATCACAATGAAGGCATGAAGCAACATTTACCATGTCATTCAAGTGAAGATGCTCGAGAGCAGAAAAAGACTCAAATAACTTGACGATATTACAGTTTCCTGCTGCCACATGATATTCCCTATGCGAAAGTGAAAATTTTGCCAGAAGAGGAACATTTTTTAAAAAGACAGATCTTATATTGCCTGTGTAGTCAAAGGATCTCAGGACGGGAGCACTAATTTTGATGACGTTGCTTAAAGCACCTGAGATATGCAGCACTAACTGCTCAAGTAACGGGGATCGAGAGATTAAACGTTCAAGCAACATGGAAGATATTGTAACATCTCGTAGTTCTAGGCTGATTAACCAATCAAACCCTTTAAAGTGTGGTGGATGATGTATTGAGCAATTATGGAGAGTCAGATGCCTCAACTGGAAACATGTGAAAAACAATGGCGGCAACTCGTACGAGCTACCCCTGATTGGAAGTCTAAGAACAAGATGTTGAATGCCATTTCTACTAAGGAAATTTATCAAGCTGTCAATATTAGAACATCGGTCCAAATAAGGAATGCAGAGGCTAAATTTTTTAACTGGTCCTGCATGATAGACTAAAATGTGGCTGACAATCTCTGAAAAGTTACTTGTAAGGTCTGTTATATTCTCTTCTTTTTTCCAAAGTGTGTGCTCAAGCGTCAATTGTGGAAGTCTACGCCATTTATATCTCCATCTCTTTGACAAGATGCTAGTCCTCACAGCATCTCTCAAAGGCAAACACATAAGAATTTCATCAATTACTTTGCGAGGAAGGTTGCTAAGTATATCAGGAGGTAAAGTTCGATAGCGATACTGCCTTTTGCCCGTAGGATACATCATATAATATATACGTCAATAAGAACCTGCACAAAATAAACAAGAGCACAAAGATGAGGAAGAATAGAACCGAGAACCACATTTCCTATTGCTTCTGTTAAGCTTACAAACTGACATCGAAAGCTACACAACAAGGCGACATCAAAAAAAGTCCAATAATTGGTTAATTTAAACTTAGAAAATTAGCTATTTAAGCTTAGGCTAGACTTGACATCAAACTAGTAGCCTAAATAAACTTAATACCCTTTTCCCCCAAAATCTGCATAACCCTAACCTTCAGTGACAATTAGTAGATACAACGGAAAATGAGAAATCATGTCTCTATATAACAATAATCATCAAGAAGAACCTGTACAAAATAAACAAGAGTACAAAGATGAGGAAGAATAGAACCTAGAAGCACATTTCCTATTGCTTCTATTAAGCTTATCAAACTGACATCGAAAGCTACACAACAAGGCGACATCAAAAAAAGTCCAATAATTGGTTAATTTAAACTTAGAAAATTAGCTATTTAAGCTTAGGCTAGACTTGACATCAAACTAGTAGCCTAAATAAACTTAATACCCTTTTCCCCCAAAATCTGCATAACCCTAACCTTCAGTGACAATTAGTAGATACAACGGAAAATGAGAAATCATGTCTCTATATAACAATAATCATCAAGAAGAACCTGTACAAAATAAACAAGAGTACAAAGATGAGGAAGAATAGAACCTAGAAGCACATTTCCTATTGCTTCTATTAAGCTTATCAAACTGAAATCGAAAGCTACACAACAAGGCGACATCAAAAAAAGTCCAATAATTGGTTAATTTAAACTTAGAAAATTAGCTATTTAAGCTTAGGTTAGACTTGACATCAAACTAGTAGCCTAAATAAACTTAATACCTTCTTCCCCCAAAATATGCATAACCCTAGCCTTCAGTGGCAATTTGTAAATACAACAGAAAATGAAAAATCATGTCTCTATATAACAATAATAGTCAATAAGAACCTGTACAAAATAAACAAGAGGACAAAGATGAGGAAAAATAGAACCGAGAACCACATTTCCTACTGCTTCAATTAAGCTTATCAAACTAGCAGCGAAAGCTACACAATGAGGAGACATCAAAAAAGGTCCAATAATTGATTATTTAAACTTAGAAAATTAGCTATTTAAGTAGATTTGACATCAAGCTAGTAGCCTAAATATGCTTAATACCTTTCCCCCCCAAAATTTGCATAACTCTAACCTTTAGTGGCAATTTGTAAATACAACGGAAAATAAAAAATCATGTCTCTATATAACAATAATCGTCAATAAGAACCTGTACAAAATAAACAAGAGTACAAATATGAGGGAGAATAGAACCGAGAACCACATTTCATATGACATCAAAAAGCTACACAATGAAGAGACATCAAAAAAAGGTCCAATAATTGGTTAATTTAAACTCAAAAAATTAGCTATTTAAGTAGATTTGACATCAAGCTAGTAGCCTAAATAAGCTTAATACCTTTTTCCCCCAAAATTTGCATAACCCTAACCTTCATTTGCAATTTGTAAATACAACGGAAAATGAAAAACCATGTCTCTATATTGCTGCAATAAACACAAATTGCAGTTACTACTAGAGCCTTAGTTTCCAATACTATCATCAAAAAGAAGACAGAATCTTTGTTTCTAAAACTAACATCTTACAGAAGAGAATGACATGATTAAAAGAAAAAAGAAGAAGAAAACGATGACGAGAAGCAAATATTAAGCTTACCAATGATGGAAATAGCTTTTCTCTGTGGGAGCTTATGCTTTTGGGAACTATACTTGCTTCTTCACTCCAAAATAACAAAAGAAACGTTTTAGCCCCCACCCCCAACCAACCAACAAAGAATGATGATTAGCATTTTACCTTATTTAATATATGCAAATTATTGGATTAATTTCACACCTGGAAGTCACTAAACTTTTCGTTTGTTACAGTAAAGGCACAATACTACTTTTCCTATCATTAAAATCACTAAACTTTACCCTGATATTAGTAAATTTACAAAATAATATTTTGTATCATTAAAATTTGTTAATTTCTTAAAAGTGTTCTCTCCGTTCACTTTTACTTGTTGACTTTGGACTTTTTATGTCCCTTAAGAAATAATAATTGTAGCATATATTTTACCATATAACCCCTAATAATGATAGCATTTCAAAAAGTCTTGAGAAATAATTTTGAAAATAAGCAATTAAGGAAAAAAAAATTATCTTTCTTTTGATTTAATATAATGTACAAGTAAAAGTGAAAATATATTTTTAGTATAGTCGACAAGTAAAAGTGAACGAAGGGAGTATAATTTATCGAAAAGTCAAATTTTCGGCGTTGGAAAATGACTTTCTCCACCTTTAACTATGTGTTGATTTTTTCCCCGCAAACATGGAGTATGAAATGCATGCAATAAGGGAAAATGACATCATATAGCCGTTCAAAAAATAATAGTCGAAAAATATATTTTTTGTATATATATATATATATATATTTCTGTATGTAATAAATAAAAAATTTACAAATTTTATATACTTTCATGGCTATCGAATATAAATAATTTCGGATATGGGCTAAAAGTGATTTTTACCCGTGTAATAATTGTCTCTATTCCTATTGTTAATGACTTTAAAAGAAAATTGGTACACATGCACCATCTCAAATTAATTGACTCCTTTTTTTTTTTTTAAATGTAAGCTACTTCTAACTTGTTATTTTACACTTACCAATAGTTTTACGTTATTAGATTACCAATAAAAGGTACTTCGGGACCCGTTCATAATTTCATATCCAAAGAATATTCATACTCTTAATTGTGGACTTAAATTGGAAGGAAAGAGCTACCTTTTTTTTAAATTTTTTATGGAAGGAGTACTAATTTTAACACTTACATTACTCTTCATTCGCTGTTAGGATATAAGTTCTACAGAAATTAATACTTACTCTAATTAATACTATATTTTCAATGGTATTTGGTTGTTTATTCATTTTCCATGCCTTCCTATTTCCGTGGACCGTGATTTGAAACACTGAGATACATCTTGAATATGTATTAGATATCAAAATGAAAAGGTGTGACACTTATAGGAGTTGTCTATATATAATAGTGTACGTACACATTTGAGCTTGTTGAGTATTGGAGTTTTGATGATTAACAAAGTGTGACTATACGGGTACTCAAACTAACAGAGTTTTTCTTGAATTCAGGGCGCCTCAAAATTAAGAATCTGTAACTACTAAATGATTCAAATACAATCAACTCCAAAGCCAAAAGATCAAAATGAAAGATATAAAATTAGGGTCTGGTACGTTATTGCGTCTGATGATAGGCTATAATTGCGTATTTTAATCGCTTATTACGCTCTAATTTACTGCACTTTAATAGAGTTTGAGCTTTAATCGCTAGTGTTTTGCACTGAATATGTGTTTTATGCCTTGTAGGAGTGATTCCGATCTATGTAGGCGTTATGGAATAAATTCAAGTGATTTGGAGCTTTGAAGTCTGCGTAAAAGCCTAAGGAATTAAGCCGGGATCGTGTTCGGGGATCAACGGATGATAGTTAAGAACGAAACGAAGAATCGAGCAGGCATACGATACATTGTCTAGTAAAATGCACATAACTTTTTTCTCAGAATTCCGTTTGGGCTCCACAATATGTCGTTGGAAAGCTATTCGAAAAGTTTACAACTTTCATGTTTTGCATTTTTGCAAATTCTCACTACCGCGGCGCAACAATGTAAAAACTGGTGTGACAAGAAAAATGCAAGGCTGCTGATAATCTCCATTAGCGCGTCGCAGGGTGCGGCACGCCTGTACAAATTTTACAGAGTCGGAGTCCTATTTCGCGCAGGAAAGGGTGTTTCGTCTGGGCCCGACCCTACTTGGTATAAATACATATAAAACCGCTATTTTGAAGACTTTTGACACATCTTAGACCTAGGGACACACTTTAGACGTGGATGAACACTCACCGCGCTTGGAGGAGACTTCTAACTAGTTTTTCTTCTCTTCTCTTTTTTTAATCTCATAGTTTATTAGTTCTAGAGTTTTGGGTGCTACATGAACGTTGTAGTTTGAAGCTTAGATTGTTCTTATTATTTTATCATATTGGTTTATTTATTCAATCTTGCGCTTAATTGTTTGATTTCTTGATCACCAATTGAATACTATCTACGAATCTAGAATTGAACTCGGGAGAGGAAATTCTAGATTGCATATAAGATTGAGTAGAGCAAGATCTTAACTCTTAGAGAGGGCGGATTTGCGGTTAGGATAGGAATATACCTAATCGCCTTGCTTGGTTATTATACGGGAATTTTTAATGCGTTCTTGTTAATTCTAATTCCATAGGAATATAGGCGTTAGATTAGCTTGAATATGCGAGTTGTACTTCGGGAGAAGGCTACGAGCAATATTAACCATGTCAACCAATAAACCAGATAAATTAATTAGACGATTTAAGTGAAAAACTCAACGGGATTGTTAGCTAACCCATAGCTCTAGAATATTCACTCACATTAAATTCGTCTCTCTATAATTCGTCAACTTGTTTTCTTTAATCTCTTAATTTACTACTCTAGATTAGCTTTAGTTAAATATTCATAGGTCTGCGTACACACTACCCTCCCCAGACCCCACTAAGTGAGATTATACTGGGTTGTTGTTGTTGTTGTTGTTGTTGTTGTTGTTGTTGTTGTTGTTGTTGTAGGATTCGCTTGAATAGATTAATGGTTTGGTTTAATTTAGTTGATATTTAATCACAAGTCCCTGTGGGTACGATATCTGGACTTACAATCATATATTACTTGTCGACCACATATACTTGCGTATACATTTGGGAGCAACAACGTCCAACTAATGGTAATGTTAAGTGGCATCAAAGGAATACACCAAATATATGAAAAAAAAACTGTAGGGTTCCAAACTTCCAATGACATTTTGTGGAATTGCCAAAATAAAATAAAATATGAAACAACAGAAAATGAAGGAGAGGAGTAAGAATTCTAATCAGAAATATATGTGAGTTACAAGTTGCAGCACGAGGTGAAGTTAAATACTGTCACGATTCGGAATTCTCACCATCGGGACTATGATGACGCCTAACATTTTACTTGCTAGGCAAGCCAACGTTAGGATATTTTATCCATTTTTAACAGTTTAAAATTACTTAATGAGAAAGAAGTGAAACTACTGTAATAATCCAAAGTATAATGTGGAAGCTAAAACAGTCAAACATCTGATACATTCCTGAACCCGGTATCACAAGTGCACGAGCTACTAGAATAGTACAAACAAGGGCCTGAAATAACATAAAGTTGTCTGAAAAAAAAAGTACACAGCCAAATAAAAAGGGAAGGGACTCCAGGAGTTGCGGGCGCTGAGTAGATGTACCTCAAGTTTTCACAAGCTGTCCAATCCGAGCACGCTAATAATCACCGCTGGGACCGATTCCAAAATCTACACGAGAAGTGCAGAGAGTAATTCAAATTGTAAATTATTTTCCTCGTGTTATAATTGTATTTTACAATATATCTTTGCAGTAATCATTAAGTCGAAGCAAGCTAGTAAAGCCATTATGCTGGATAGAAGCACCATTTGTTCGAAGTCATACCTGTATGGGTCGAAATCTATCTCTAGAATATAAGTTAAAATGGTATCGGTAAAGCATTTCTAGGTCGCCATGAGTTGAAGTGATCTAATCAACAATGAAGGTCGTGGGCCGAAGAGTCAAAAAAGATCAAAATCGGGCAGTCGTCAATAGCCGATGCCGAGGTCGTGAGTCTCTGACAGAGTTATAACGGTTAGCTTTAAGATAGGACCTGAAGGAGAATATTCTAGTGAATATTCTTTGCACTTGTACTATTAGGTTCTAGGAACATGTTCCCTATAAAAAGAAAGAGAACTATGATAAAGTCATCTCCAACTCTTGCCTCCATTTTCTCCTCCAAAATACAGTAAACTCCAAAATGTAGTAAAGTTACTCCAATCATTACTTCATTTTACTCCAAAAAAGAATATTCCATTTTATATTCTTTTCTCTTATCAATATTACATTATTATCTTTTAGCAACATCTAATATTTTATATTTGCGCCATTCATTTTTTTAGATGATTATATATTTTTTGTACAATTATAACTTATAATATAATTAACTTACAATTTTACATAAAAATAATAAATGCACGAAAATTAATTTATCAAAATTATATGCCAAAGTTAAGATGTAAAATTAATATTATAAAGATATTACATAAACATAATTAGGTATATATAAAGAGATAAATTAAAAAATTTAAATAATAAAAATAATAATAAAATAAGCATGAAATGTAATGGAGAAAATGAATAGTGTCCATCCATATTTGGAATAACATTATTCATCCCCATTTTGGGGGCAAAATGGGGGAGATTATGACAAAAAAATGTCCCCATTATAAAGAAATAGGGGAAGATTGGAGATGTCCTAAGGCACATGAGATATTCATTTTCATAAAAGACACTTTTGACTTGAAAAAGAGAAAGATCGGGTTTCAATCCTAAGCACACAAAAATATCCCTTTTCCTAAGATTCTTGCCAAGACTTTTCCACTAGATCCGATAATATCTCGGGCACTCAAAAATGTATTCATCATTCTCGGTTGTCAGAGAGAATATTCATTACTTACATCTTATCTCTGGTGATTCTTTTACATTTATTTACGTAAATGTCATGTGTTACTGTTCATCAATATTCAATGCCACTTTACTTCTATATTTATTCTTGAATATTGACTATTATTCGCCGTCATATCTGTTGGAGCATATCTGCGTATCATTTGCTATACCACTTGGCGTTTCTCTTTAGGATATTATTGTTAACAAAGATTGACCCTCATTTACCTAAATTTAATTAGTTAAATCGAAGATCTACATTTTGTGTCATATAATACCCTTGAACGGTTGAGAAATTTGAGCCTGAGCAAATCATTTCGCTCACAGTTAAATCGTTCCAAACACTTGTACGTAGTTAAACTACAAAATAAATATACTACTAGTAAACAACAAAAGTGAAGGGGATCGAGGAGGAAGAAGTCAAATCAGAAATGTCAACTATGCAGCAAGTGGTCTAATGACCTGACCAGTTCCCTGAAACTAACACTATGAAACGCTCATTTTTTTAAATTTTTACTGCCCCTCGAGAAATCTATAGACGCTGCTGATGGTGGCCGCAACTGGAGCAGCTTCCTAACTATATTTAATGCTTTTTCTGCTTCAAGTTGGGGGTGCTCCAGGATGCTCATTGTCACGAGTGATGGCGAGCTAAGGAGAAGGAACCGGATAAACCCAAACTCAGGATCGAAAGCTGAGATATTCGTTAACTTGACCAGATGAAGCTTGCTAAGGGGAAAGGTTATGCAGTCCAGGAGTTCTAGATAACCTGAGACTTGTTCCTGGTTTAGCTTGACTGTAGAAGCCTACACGAAAATAAAGCAGATGTACGTTTACTAAGTGCTTATTCGTTTCCAAAACAAAGTATCATAAATTAGGAGGGTTTAAGTTAATTACCTCAATATGAAGTTCTTGCAAATTCGTAGCCCTTCTAATCAAGCTGGCAGCCAAAGATATCTGGCCAAAGTCCATAAAGTTTACACCTTTGAGTTTAATAATCTTTAGGGAGAGTGGCGATGTCGATAGCATAGGGGGAACTGGAGTTTCAGCTAGGAGCTGAAAGAAGGATATGAGAATACATCATTTTAATAAGATTAAACAAAACAAGAATACTTGAAACAGAAATTTCGGTTAGCACTAACCTGCAGAAATTTGCTATCAACACTAAGTACTTTGACTTCAGGCAAGCTACCGATAAACGATACCAAATCAAAGACACCATTTTCTTCTGGACCTTTTACAACTCCCCCCAGAGATACATAAACTTCAGACAAGTTAGGAGCCTTCTCTAAGGAGATTGATTTGAAATTATCATCAGCCTTGGTGAACAACCTCTGAAGTTTAGAACCACTGATATTAAAATGATGAATGCCAGAGCAACCACCCAAGAATAGCCTTTTAAGTATGGGGCAGCTGGAAATAAAACTCTCAAAACAGTTGTTTGTAAAGTCGACCCCAGAAAGTATTAAATGGCGGAGATTAGGGAAGCCTTTAAACTCTAGTGGCGGCGAACGAACAAAATTAATAAGCTTCAACGATGTCAAGTGCAGACAAGAGAAGAACGAAGGAGGCAACTTATGATGATGATCCGTATAAACCTTCTTGTAAATTAAGGTTAATTCCTTGATTTTTCTGAAAGATAAACATAGTATCCATTTGTTCACATAAGGAACCACAGGTGAAGGATTAAAAGGAATGCATACTTTAAATCTCTCTAATCCACCAGGATGAAGCATAAGAGATTTGGTGATAATTTCATCAAATTGATAGAACTTGAGAGCATAAATATTGGCTCCTTTATTCACAGAGAAGTCATCAAGTTCTTTGCAAAACTGGTCATCAAATACTAACTGTGGAATGTTTAAGTAGTAATATCTCCACTTTTTAGAAAAAACGCTGGTTCTTACAGCTTCACGTATAGGCATTTTCCCTAGGATGCAAGCTATCAAATTTCGTGGCAAGTTGCTAATTATATCTTCATCAGCACCTGATCGTTTTCTTTTGACACCTTTCGATGACATTTTCCTGAGATTGGAAAATCAAGTCAACCAATGCATTCAAATATAGTCGATTCACATATTAAGTTTTTCTCTCTCTAGTTGCGATGAACAGTAGCGACGCAACAGTTGACCGGCAATAACTCCATATTCCGGCAGTGGAAATTCACCAAATTGGTCTCAAAAGAAGCGTCTTCTCATTGTGCACAATCCCCAATCGTTTTCATCCTCAAATCCATAGCCTCTACTACAGATTTGAAGATAAACGTAATAGGTACTGTAGCGCAAAAGCTTCAGTTCTCGATTTCTCTTTGCCGACAACAATGGGCAGCTAAGAAGCTATGAACGTGCATCTATCTCCCACACATTTAGCTGTGGGCGAACCACCTCCAACAGCTGTAAAGAGTGACCAAACTAATAACATACAACATACGTATGCTGCTCAATTGTCCCAAGAAAAGGCAGCTGCTACTTTGAATCAAAAATTGTTGAAACCAATTGAAATTATTCATGGCGTCC